TATAAAATCAAACAAATTGAAAAGGGCAAACACGTTTTTTTTTCATTCTTCAGAGAATTCCGTGGCTATTTAGATCATTAAGAATGGTGAAGATTTTTTGTTTGAATTTATCACGCATGTTTTTATAGTCAATGTTAATATTAATGGTTATGAAGCTAAATTTTAGCTTAAATACAAATCTTGGATTGGGCGATGATTACTTCAGGAGATGGATATATAGTGATAATTTGAATAATACTTTGGCAGCAACATGCATATAAGCCAAGCGGATCCGATGGCGATATCTATGGACATGACAGATTTGCTGATGGTTTCTATTAAGTTAATATAACAGTATTGAATTCCTTGTCAAGCTTATGATGTCTAATTTTAAATGTATTATTTTAATAAAACTTCGTACATACGAAATCAAAATCTTAGAAAATCACTAGAAACACTTATTGAAAGTATTTTAGTATAATTTATGTTTTCTGAAGTTTTTTATTTTGCAACTGTTTAATTCAGATATAAAGAGTATGTTTGGCAATTCAGTTGTTTTTATGAATAAAGTTCGGTTAGTTTTATTCATACTATTTTTTTTTTCTTTCTATTCTATCTCCAATTTCACGTGAATAAACAAGAATAAAGAGAATCAATGGAACATTTCTATTGTAGAATAATTATTATATTGATTAAAACAACTAATCTATCAAATATATTAATTATTTAAACTTCATTGAAATAACGAGATGATCGAAGCTACATATAATTCAAAAAAGTATTCATATCTATTAAAGACGAGATATTTCAATAATGTTGATAGTGTAAACAACAGTTTGTAGTCCGAGAAAAATATCCAATTTAATGTATGTTTTCTTCTAAAATCCTGAAAATCAAAATAATTTGCAAAACATCAAGTAATCTACCAATATGATGTTGATGAATAAAATAGTTCATACGTATATAATGTTTTAATTAGAGCTTCTAGAAGATTTGCGAGCACACTTTTTTCAAGCATCAAATCGCTCATGAGTCAAGATTATTTGCAAAAATGTACGTTTCAATGAGCTATGAATGTCATGAAAAGAGTTCAGAATCATAGAAACATCCCTTAATGAAAATAGTGTATTGTAAATGGTTCAGATCTTTCGATTGCTTCTATACTAAAATACGGTTATGGTAGAAGCATGTTTTTCAAGCCGTTCATATACAGCGGTAAATATTGACGTTCTAATATCAGAATAAGTGCAATCATGAAATCTGAAACTTGTACAACAAGCTATTCTCGCTAAGACCTCTCGCTATGCAAAGTTGCAAGTTGAAATTCACAACTCAATATCCCAGGTGTTCGTGAACGAGACCAAAATACGATAAAAACACATTATCTTCGCAGTAATAAGCTCTTAGGCCGAACTATTTTCAAAGTATCCATAGCTCATTAGAACCTACTTGATGCATCTAGTCTTAACTCAAAAGTGGTTTGATACTTACAAAAATTTTCTTGTTAGTTTAGCTATTGAACATCATCAACTGTTTTATATCGTTCATATAATAAAAGAATTCTCAAACTATATTTCATGAAACCAAAAAAAAAAAGAATTTCGTTAATGAATTCTTCCTAAACAATCACTCAATATTCATAACATTTTGCAAGGATTGAAGAATTTAGTTCAATCATTAAAACGTTATTTTATTGCATTTTCAATGCATGTTGCAATACTTGCATCGAATAGTAGTTCATACATGATGTTCTATTTGTTTAAATAGTCTTCTCGGAAATATACAAATAAGGCAATGTTTTTGTGTCAATAAATTGATATCAAATATCAACATGTATATTACTTTGTAATGTCAGCAAGAATACGTTAGTCTAATATCTCAATGTAAACTAAGAAAAATTGAATGTTTTGGCATAAAAAAACTAAAGAATCTTATATCTACATTCACATATGTTGTCTTCAATGACAATAATGACAAGAAAGTGAAAGCACCAAAAGCAAAATCTACAAATTCTATTGAGCAACTTTTATCGTTGCAAAAATCTATACGAAATAAACGTTCATTCAACTCAATGCACATTCTATGTAACATTTATTTAACAGTAAAAATTTTCTTATATAAATTTCTATTTTTTGATACTAATCATACAGTTCTAATTAGTAGGCTTTTTTTTTCGTTTTCAAGTATTAATACAGGTCTTTATGGTTAGGTCGAACCAAACGGTAATTTACCATGAATCATTTTACACTTTTTCTCCATCGGTAAGAGGTTTAATCAAATCTCTCGACTGATCATATCTGTCTTGAACCACTAAAGTAATGACGTATGGCGTCTATTTCACTATCATATCGATATTCACTGTCAAGTTTCATTTGTTTTATTTCTGTGATCGTATATTGGTAAACAGAAAACCTCGTAGGATCCCAAATGCTATATGAACTTTGTAAATTGATCAAGCCAATGTCGTACGTGTACCTTAGCAATTAACAATAAGCTTAATTTGCATTACACATTACATGTCCTTTAATATTACTTATTTAATTGTAAAAATATATTATATAATTATCGTAGTACATAAAGGTACGTCTTTGATATATTCCAATGTTAGACAAACTATTTGATTTGATTTTGATAACATATCTGCATATGTATATGGGTAGCTAAAATATATAGTGAATACGATAATAAAGCTCACGTAATAGAGTAGTATTATGCATATTTCTTCATGAAAATAGATTTCGACATCAGTAAAAAACACAAGATTAGCTTATGACGCAAAGTTCCTTGTTAATCCAGTTTTTGAGAAAAACATGCAAAACTTCAAATGAGAAGCTCCAGATCTGTTCGAAAGGAATCTTCATCTGAGCAGATTGGTTTATTAATGCTCGATAACCATCCTCAATTACAACTTTGGCCTACTAAATATCTTTCATGGTATGCAAATAAGATTGAGTTTTCTATTAGTTGTGCATATCGATGCATCTTCTTGAATTACAATATATGGATTTTTATTAACAAATTGCGTAGGATGTGAACTAACTTGTTTTGTTTGAAAAAACTTTTTAAACGCGTTAAAATATCGAGTTTTCAATCATTGTCTCCCTGAATAATAACAAAATGCATATCACTTGTTGTTATTTGAGAGTCGTTTTCCTTATAGTCGATAGCAATCTTTTTCTTTAATAAGTTTTATATAATTACTATAGTTCTATAATGCATGTTACAGTATAACTTGTTACATATGTTCTTCTCGTGTAAAAAAATGACTGGTCATCTTTTCTCAGGATTCTATTTGTTTGTTAATATGAAATAATTTGATATCCCTTACGATGCTTCTTTTTGTTGTTAAAAAATTTCTTTTCTGATCTTTCATGTTTTTGTAACAATATAGATAAGTAAAACAGGCAGAGCATTTCAAAAAGAAAACACTTAAGCAAAATGCTAACTGCAAAAAATGTAAATGAATAATTCTAAAATTTATAATTCAAGATATTTTTGTTACTTTCATTATCTTTTATTTTGTCTCTGTATTACCAATTGAATATAAGGATATGATGCTCTATTGACTGTATTATGTCTGCAAGGTTTAAAACTTTCACATGACATATCTAAATGAGAATATTGATAAAATCAATAATATCCGATACTTCTACGAAATATGTAACATCCTCACTGACATACAATATAAATGTCAGTTGATAGAATGTGCATGAAGATGAAGCCGATACATATCTTGTAGAAGTACTCAATACTTATTGCGATAATACAATCGTTCAAGGATAGAACGTAATCCACATCATCAATACATTTGCTGAGGTCAATCTATACATCGACTTTGATACCAATATAAGCCAATAAAATAGACTCATGATTATTTCTAGAAAAAATTACCAAGTTATTATTTCTATGATTTGAGAAACTCTTCAACATTTATTTACATAAATTTGTTAGGACAAGACACAACGTCAACAATAGATGATGTAGTAACTGTCAGTCAAAGTTATCTTACGCCTTGTCCACGTAACTCCGTAACACCGTTACGTTTTTACTCATTTTGTTTTGGTCATAACTCTGAAAGGAAAAGTCGTAGAGAGGTGAGCGACGTCTTAAATTGAAGACAAATTTGTTTTGAAGATTTTGAGATTAGTTCGAGCTCATAAAAACGTTTCCTCGAAAATTTGTCAGTGCAATACCAACACCTACTTTTGAAAAATCCAGCGAAAAAGTAGGTATTAGTATTTTGGTTATAGATTTTTGAAAAGATCTTTTTATGCGCTCGGACTAATCTTAAAATCTTCAAAACAAATTTGTCTTCAATTTAAGACGTCGCTCACCTCTCTATGACTCTTCCTTTCAGAGTTATGACCAAAACAAAATGAGCAAAAACGTAACGGTGTTACACTCTGCCGCTAGCGTTACGTGGACAAGGCGCTTAACAGATATTACACTTATCTTTCAATCAATTAAATAAACCGTATGAGAATGTGACTAAAATTAAATATCCATTAGTTCTTTGACAACAAGTAGTAGAATCTTTATTGAAAATATGAGCCAATGCCATCTGTTCTTCATGTATAGTGAAATAGTGAAGAAAATTCTATCTTTTACAATCATGAATAATTTACCGACAAATATCAACAAATTGGAAAATTTTGTTCACTTGAAAAAGAATTCTATGTTCATCAAGTATTCCATATTATAGAAGTACATGTCATTATTAAAATGATCTTATTTGAATGTGACTTCCACAAACATATTACACATTTTCAATCTACGAATAAAGAAGAAATTTTCCTCTCGAAATTCAAATCTATGAGTATCAGTTTTTAATATTATCACAAGAATATTGACGAGTGAAGAAAAACAAAACATCTTCAATGTGACAACCGAATAAAATTAAATAGTTTGTTAAAATCCTTCAAAACATACTTTAAAAAAAAGTATAAACATATTTGTTATTCTCTTGAGTTGGAAGAAGAATCGATTTGTTCAATATTATCACATTTTTTTTTATCTCTTTGTTACTGTTTCTCTTCTTCTATGTGTAACTGTTCATCTTTATGTAGTTCTTCTTGTTTTTCAGATGATTGTTCGTTTTGAGATATAGATTTTTCTTGAGATTGTTGATCTTCTTCTGATATTGAAACTGAATTCTCATCAAGTCTTGTTTCTGATGATGGTAAATCTTTTTTTATTGATTCATTTTCAGTCGATATTTCTGTTTTTTCTTCTTCGATCTTTGATGTTGTTCCTGATGTTTCTAATGATGAAAATTTTACTATTGGTTCTTGTTCAGTCGATATTTCTGTTTTTTCTTCTATAATCTTCGATGTTGTGCTTGATGTCACTTCTGAAGAATTTTCTTCTATTGGTTGTTGTTCATTTGATAATACTATTCTTTCGTCTTCGATCTTTGATGTTATGTTTAACATTTCCGATGATGAATCTTTCTTTATTGACTGTTGTTCAGTTGATATTTCTGATTTTTCTTCTTCAATTGTCGATGTTATGTTTGATGTTTCTGATGTTAAATCGAAAAGAAATAAAAATTGAAAAAGTCGAGTAGAACGTCCTTGAGAACAACTTCCACCAGTAATATCACATAATTGTTCATAGAAAGTATCATGTATATCTTGTTGATTTTTAACTTTATCCCATAGAATAGGTAAAAGTTCTTCAACATCAATTTCATTACGTGAATCAAAATTTCGATTTCGACTAGATACGAGAATGTTTAAAGAACGACGTGCACGACCAATTCGTTTAACATTAAAATATTTTTTGTCTAACCATTTTTCAATATCTTTTATTGTGTCATCAAATGAAAGACAATGCGGAAGATAGTTAGAAATCAACATAGGACGTATTTCAAACCATTTTTGACGTAATTTACCATCATAATCATGTGTATTACATGAAGTTGGCATTGCTTTTAAATCTAACTAAAAAATAAATCGATTTTTATAATGTAATCATATTTCTTCTTGAATTCTTCTATCAAAATATAAACTGATAATAATTATCTAGATCAAAATATTAGCAAAGTTTTAAATACAACTTTAACAATCTAATCGACATTTTACCATAATGAAAATAAATAAATACAAAGATCGAAAATTATTTTTTCAAGCATTGTGAAATTTTTTCAAACAGATGACTCACCATCCATATTCTTCATACAAAACAATTATTAGTTCTGGTTTTCAATTAACTAAAACGTTAAAATTAAAAACTCTATTGAAATTTTATTAAATCATCTGTTAAACTAATAAAAAAAACTATAAATGAAGTTTAAATAAATATCAACTAGCGTCATCTATTTAAAATGATTTCATTTTGTTCATTTTTGACAAATTCTGTTTGACATAAGTTGCATAAATATTTCAGTCCAGATAATAATTTGATTTGATTTAAAAGAATAAGAGGGGAATGGACACTATCTAATTTCCAATTGGTTTATACCTATATCCTCTGTTTGTTTTTCTTTTTTTTTTTTTTTTCTTTTTTGTATTATTATCTTTGATTAGAAATATTTGTTTGGATTTTAATTAAACTAATTATTTCAGAAATAATTAATTATTTAAAAAAAAAAACACAAAATGGCCGGAATTTCAGCAGCACGTCTTACAGAAGAACGAAAAGCATGGAGACGAGATCATCCATTCGGTTTTATTGCTGTAAGTTCAAACTTCTTTGTTTTTTAATGTACTAATTTTGTTCTTTAGAGACCATCCAAAAATGTCGATGGAACTCTGAATCTTCTCAATTGGGAATGTGGTATTCCAGGTATACAAAAATTAAAAAAATCTTTTTTGTTTTTTTTTCAAAATTTGGAAATATTTTTTTTATATGATTAGGCAAACTCAGTACACCATGGGAAGGTGGTTTATATAAATTACGTAAGTTCATTAGATTAAATACAACTAATTAAAATATTTTAATTTAATTTAGGTATGATATTTAAAGATGATTATCCATCTACACCACCTAAATGTAAATTTGAACCACCTTTATTTCATCCAAATATTTATCCCGTAAGCAAAAAAAAAATTAAAATTAAGAAAAAAAAAACAATACATTTATCTTATTAATTAAATAGAGTGGAACAGTATGTTTATCATTACTTGATGAAGAAAAGGATTGGCGTCCAGCAATAACAATAAAACAAATTCTACTTGGTATACAAGAATTATTAAATGAACCAAATCCAAAAGATCCAGCACAAGCTGAAGCATATGCTATTTATATGCAAGATAAAGTTGAATATGAAAAACGTAAGAAAATATTTAATTATTTTAATAAAAATTTTCTATTTCTATTTTTCTAGGAGTTCGAGAGCAAGCAGCACGTTTTCGTGCAACGGATATATAAAAATGAAAATAGGAAAGAATAATTTATGATGTGTACAAACGAACAGAGAAATGCTTGATGAGCAAAAGTCTTCTTCTTTTTTTTTTTTCGTTGTATCGATGTTGTTCGAGTGTGTTCAAAACTCGAAATGATCTTTTTTTTTTTCTTTTCTTCGAATAATTTCTTGTCTTCTTTTTCTTTTTTTCTATGATGTGCTTGTATCTATTCATAAGTACACTTTAAAAAAAACAAACAAACAAAATTCATCATGAAATAAGAACGAACAATAACTATTATTTTATTTTGATTTATATTAAAAAAAAAGTAAATTGTAAATGTATCGCTTTTCTTTTTTTTTGTATCCCTCAGCCAATGCATTGCAACATGCAATTATCATCAACGGTTTTGCCACAGAGAGCTGGGTTTATTAGATAAACATCATCGGGATATGTATACACATTTACATATAAAATGATTATTGTGTTCTCGTACTTTATCTTGCCATATTTAAACACAAATGAATGAATGTATGAATGTTGACTATATCCATTCGACTATTTTTTCTTCCGAGAGAATGAAAAAAAAACGGCATGTCGATGTACTTCTTTCCTTCTGTATACGACTAGGCCATTAACATAGAAACTCATACGAAAAGAAACAGAGAGAGGACAAAAAGTAAGTCTGGTAGAGTACAATTAATGGAAATGATTTAACTTGATTAAGAATATTGTCAACAGACAATATTGATGTTGATGAAAAAAAAAATCAAAATGAATAATTTTTTTTGTTAATAAATAATTAAACGATGTAATCAGAGTAATAAATAAGGAAAAGCCGAGAATGAAATGATTCATCTTACATTACTCATACACTAAACCACAAAAAGATTAGCTTTTTTTTTTGGAATTTTTTCTCTAAAGAATAAAAGAGAAAAGAATGTAACATCTACTATCATTCTTTTGTATTGTTACAGAAAAGAAGTACATTTCATGATAGTTATCGATATAAAAGCACGAATACAATGTATTACAAAATATCTTATATGATTTATTTTTTCTTATCGAAAAACAATAAAATCTTCAGAGAGATATATCATTTGATCTTATAAATTTTTACCAAAGAATACTATTTGATATGGTTTCTAACATTCATCTATGATTCGTTCAATAGAAATTTTACAATCAATCAATAAAACAATGATATATGTTTGTTATTCTGATTTTCTTTGAGCATTGTTATTTCTGCAATGTATATTAAATATGATAGAAAAAAAGATAGGGAATTATTACCATCGCAAATATGTCTGATAAAATATGTTTCATATATATATACGAAATATAGAGTTAAGCTTCTATTCTAAAATAGATAACGAAAGAATGAGCTACATAAAGACGAACATTATACATCAACATTCTTTTTGTTTTTTCTTCACTCTATTCTATACGCGTAAGTTAAAAGATTCCTTTGTATTCAACATTTGATTGATTCATTAAAACTAATAACATATTTATTTTAGGCAGTATTTTATCAAGATTTTCTTTTTCGAAGAAGTTATGTAAACGATCGAGAGGACGATCACATATTTTTGGAAACAAAGACATATAGTATTTATCATAATAACTATAAATTTTGAAAGGATTAATCTAGTTTTCGAAGAGACACTGCCTCCATATTGGACAAACTGTTAATTTCAAAAACAAATGAGAATATCAAAAGAGTTTCATGCATTTCAGATAATCAATTTTTCTATTTTAATTTCATTAAACAAAATGTCAACTATTGGACATGAAGCAAATACTACAACAGGTTCAGCTGTAGCTCATACAGCTATTGCTGAAAATGTTGCTGTTAAATCCATTGTTAGTACTGAAACACAATCAAAAGTTAGTATGGAAAATGTAGAAAAAATGGCTACATTAATGAATAAACTTGGTAAAATAGTTTCATATTATTTAAATATATTTTTTATTTAATAAATTGTATATATTAGGTACAACACATCAACTAATTGATGAATATTCTCGTCGTCGTACTGAACAAATATCTGAAGAAGTAACATCAGCTATTACAAAAGTTGTTGTTGATACTCAATCTCAACAAGGAAAACTTTTAAATGATGCTAATGTACGTTCAGCTGCTATTGAAGAAGAATATAAATTTAAATTACAAAATTTTATTGAAGAACTTGATACAACTAAAGCACAAGATTTAGCTTTACTTGAAAAAGATTTAAATCAACGTCAAGATATGATTCTTGAACAAGCTCGAAAACGTATTGATGATTTAAATGAAGAAGCTAATCGTTTAAAAATGACTGTTCTACGTGAAGCTCAAGTACAGGCAAATGCAAAAGTTGATGCAATTACACAACAAGTTGCTGCGTAAGATTATTGTAGGAAAATATTTTTATAGAAAAAAATAATTAATAAATTTAGTTTGGGAGCTGCAGATGCTAATCGTCTTTTAACATCAACATCAACGACAGTTATTCGAACTGAAGCTAAAGCTGCTAGTGAAACTCATATTCCTAATACAAAAGTTGTTCTTGGTATTACAGCAACAGAATAATAAAGAATATTATGAATACATTCATGTTATCTTACTTTTGCACTTATTAATCAAGCTTATTTATGTGTTATTTATTACTATTGGATTTGTTATTTTTCGTTGTTAATGTGAGAAAAAATGAAAAGCATGTAGAAAAGAAAACTTTTTATTGTTATCTGTATAATCAGCATGATACTTTTTGTTGTATTTATTTCAAATAATAACTTATCCTGTCAGTATTAAAGATACATTTTTTTTCTTCTGTATTTGAGAATTTCTTTTATCTAAATTAAATATACATTTTATCCTACAATAAAAATGTACGTTTATTCAATTTTCATGTTAAATATCGAAATGAAAAACTTGATTTATTTATTTTACAATGCAATAATTGGTCAGATCACAGTGCAAAGTTCAGATGAAATCAAATCCTATCAGGAGAGACTTAATCTGTTGTAATAGTTCAGTTTCTGGAAATGAGATCTCCAAAAATGTTATTATATTTTACACATGACATTTCAATAACTGAGAAAAAAAAAAGATTTCTTTTTGGTCGAAAGTGCCGGTCCTAAAAACATAACGAAATTTTTTCTAAATTCGAAAGTTCTTTTCTTAAAAATAAAACAAAACTTATTCGAACAGCTAATTGAGGAAATCTCTCCAGATGTCAAATCGTTGTTCAATCAAGATGATGTCTATTTTATGAGTACTTGTGAGTAAGAAAAAAAAGTCTAGAATGGTTTACTTTTTCCGGCTTTTGTTTTTAAGACAGAAAAAGTTTTATTGAGTTTTTCAATACAAAAAACTGTGTTCATCTGAGATAATATGGAAAACGACTTTCATCTTCAAATTTTGTACGAACAAAGTGTTGAAACAGATTAATATCTTGGCTAAATTAAAATTTTTCTACAATATACTATCTTGAAATATTCAGTATTCGAATTTGTCTCATATGTAAAAGCAAATTTTTCTTCATATATTTATATTTTGAGAAAGAAGAAGTTGAAAAAATTAAAACTTTCACATTGAACTGATATCATTAAGAATTTTGTTCGTGAAAAAGCTTGAAATGAAAACTCAACAATTGATTTTTCTCGTGACTTGAGGGAAACAATAGTTTTACGTTGAAAATTCAGTAAAATTTCGGTATATTCAAGAACGAAAGCAAGTTCACATTTGGAGAAGTTCCTTCGCCAATATAGACATATGGATTGTAATCGATGAGAAATTTACTGTTTCGATCGAAAGAGAATTTTAAGATCTAACTTTTATAAATAAATAATCTTTCATCAATTGGCGACATCTGTTCAGACTTTGAGTATGATCAAAGAAACAAAAGAAGGAAGGTAGTTTTATTCGATTTGACTAGGTTATACTTTTATCCAATAATTGTGAAATTGTTAAAACAGGCAAAATTAAATCTTTTGTTTTTTTTATTCATTCATTAAAACATCATGGTTTCAACATCATTATTTGACGATGGTCCAGAAATTGAATTTCCAACAGAAATTATGTGTTCTCGATTTTGTCCTATTACTCGAAATCTCTTCTTAGCCGGTGCAATTTCTGGACATTTGCACTGGTCTGAAAAATGATTTTTCTTTTTAATATAAATATTTTCTTTGTTGACAGGATAAAGATAAATGATGACGAAAACGAACGATCTATGTCAAATGAACGTTCAATGAAAGTTCATAAAAAATCAGTTCGTGCTATTAGATTAACACCTGATGGTCAATCCATCATAACTGTATCTAAAGATAAATCAATTAAATTAAGATCAACAGAAACTGGAAAGATGATTACAAAATATAAACGAGCACACAAGTACATAATTTTATTTTTGATTTTTTGTAAATTTCTCTGGTTTTATAGTTCTCCTATAAATTGTTTATGTATAGTTGATAATTGTGTATTAGCAACAGGTGATGATGATGGTTATGTTAAGGTAAATAAAAACAACTTTATTCTAAATCAATATAAATTTGAAAAAAAATAAAAGTTATGGGATTATAGACAAAAGAAATCTTTAGCTGAATTTCATGATTGTGATGATTATATTAGTGATTTGACTTGTGCGAATGATCGACGAACATTACTTACTACAAGGTATTTAATTAACATTGTTTTGTTTTTGTTTTATTTTGAAGAATAATTTTCAAAAAATATTTTAGTGGTGAAGGTACATTAACTGTTTATAATGTTCGAAAGAAAAAGTTACAAATACAATCAGAATTAATGGATAGTGATTTAACAGCTTGTCAGATTGTTAAAGTATAAATTTTTTTCTTTTTTCATTTATTATGTTGAATAGAAGAAAAGATTTTTTTTGTTTAGGATGGAACTAAAGTAGTATGTAGTACAATGGAAGGTGTTTTATATTTTTTTAATTGGAAAGAATTTGGTAATATGTCTGATCGATTTCCTGGTCATCCAGGTGGAATTGAATGTCTTACTTCACTTGATCAATCATTGATTGTTACTGGTTGTGAAGATGGAAAAATTCGGTTCGTTTATTTTTGTTTCTTATATTAATTTTTTTTGTTTTAGTTGTCTTAGTCTTTATCCTCATCGAATAATGTCAATTGTTGGTCGTACATGTTCAATGCCAATTCAAACATTATCTACATCATGTGATACAGATTATCTTATTGGTACATCAACATCACAAGAAACTTTACAATTAATTGATTCTCAACAATTAAAAATAATATTAAATAAAAAGAAAAATAAAGGTGGACAACGACAAAATAATTCGTTTTTTGCTGATTTAGAAATTAATGAACAAACAGAATTTGATGATAAACAACAAAGATCCAGTGATGATAGTGATAGTGATGATGATGATGATATGAGAAAGCCACCGAAAAAAAAGAAAAAAAAAGTTCATTTTTAATTATTATTTCTTGTTTGTTTTTTTTTCATTGTTAAATAAAACATTGAAATATGTTGAATATTACAAATATTGTTCCGTTTGGTAATGCATTTTTAATGATTTACTTAAAAGTTCTCTTTCTACAAGCAATACAATCTGATCAAGGATTTCTTAAATAAAAATATGTATTTTTGATTTTGTTCTCTAATGTAAAGCAATTAGCCCTAATCTCGATCGTGAGTTAAATAGCCAATGGAATTTTCTATCGAATTCATTCTATATAAGATGAATTATTATAGAAAGTTTTTTTCAGAACACTGGGCACGGTAGTTTTCAGGATGTAGAATATTACTTTTTAATTATACCATTTCAAAGAGAACAAAATTCTGAAAAAGATAAGGAATCACTGCATTTTGTATGGTTTTCTCTTAAAAAGTTAAAAGTACATAACAGCTCAATGGGCAACAGATAACAATATTTAATAATAATAATTGATCAAGTTCTACACAAATATATAGTACGATTATCATAACCATTAGGAAATTAAAATTGAATCAGTATATTGAACGTTCAGTTTAGCATTAAACAAGCATGTATCATTCTATTTAATGAAAGTATCAATTGTGAATATTTAATAAGATAAACTCTCAGCAATGAATGAAGTCAAAGCAAATAAAAAGAAAAGTATTGCAATAGTCAACACTACTTTAAACTATGCAATTTGTTTTAATTCTATTTTATCCTCTTTACTTACCTGAGAGAAAAATCGAAATTGTAGGATAAACGTTAAGTGGGAAAAAGAGAAGATACATGTCATGAATAATTACTCATTGAAAAACATTTTTGTCGTTTTCTCTTGTAAATTTCATCGCTAAACGTTTTGCAATACTTTTATTGATTGAGAAATATTTTATATATTTTCATACCTATCATAAATTTTTGATAAACAACTCTATGAAATCTTTAAATTGATACAAGTAAAATGTGTTACTTCTATCATTCATTATTATGATGTTTAGATATGAATTGATAAGATATTTAATATAGTAAATTATTTTTTGTAAACATTTTCATAGGAATAATTATTTAAATAAGAAGAATGAATTTATTTTTAAATCTAAGATAATATTTATATTTGGAATTAAAATTTATTTTTTTGAATCATTATATAGAACATTGATACTATGAAATATTTAGTTAATTTTTCCTTTAGTTCTTAATTATATTATCCATTTAAATATACATTCTACAGAGAGTCAAACAATTGTTACTATCTATATCAAGTTAATACACCTGAGCAATTACTAGAAGTGTCTTTCATCTTTCTTGATCAGTATAAACACAGTCTGCAGTCGATAGGTTCTATTTGCTTTTCCTTTCTTTCTTCTCTCTTCTATTGACTTTTCTAATGACTTCTAACAGCAATAGTTATAGAAATAATAACAAGTATCTTTGAATGAAAAAGTTGAAACATAATTTTTTTTTCTCTCTCCATTCTGCTCTAAATAAATATCTCTTTACTGTTAGTCACAGCATCCTGAATAAGTCACACATTTCTTCATTTTTTTTTTGTTCATTTCAACAAAAGAAAACTATGAACACTACAAATAATTCTCAATCAACCTTTCCTTCTTCATCATTTGAATACAATCACAATCATCAAGAATTCAATGAAAATGATGCAACAAAAATGTCTTCATCTACATCATTCGATATGATGGGTTTTAGAAATAATCATTTTCCGTCGATGATGATTATTAATGATCAACAAGATGAAAGCATTATTGAAGATAAAGATAGTTTGCATGGTGAGTGCAGTTTTTGTTTTCATATTTTTTTTATCTAAATGCATTAGATACTATTTTGTTCTATTCACTTTTTGTTCAATGTGGAAAATATGAACAATTTAAATTGTTGTAATGTTTATTTTCTTTCTAACTCTAAAAGAAAAGACTCCATGTCCAAAAATACCTAAATTCTTTACCGATCGAATAGAATGAATTTTAAGTCATGACAAAAGATAATTCAAAGAGAAAAACCTCTTGTCTTTTAATGATGACAAAAAAAGACTTTTTTTAAAATAAATATTGGTAGATCTATCTAAGGAATATATGCACAAAATGCATTGGAAAAGTAATAGTTAACA